AACGATGAGAATAAAAGCAGCTACTCAAGGTCTGAGGGCGAAGTCGTACTGCTGACTGCAGAGGGGTGTGACAGCACTAAGGTGTTTCCCTCGGACAACCAGCATCTGCATCGATGCTGCTTTCTCACAAGGAAGGAAGAGGTAGGAAAAGGTCGGCCCCAAAAATGTCACACCTCACCTTACATCACAGATTTCCGTCTCCTTGGGTAAGGGTGCCCACTAAGGGCTTTTAAGAACGGAGCTAATACTCAAAAATCCTCTCATAAAAAGACCGTGCGTGACCGGCCTCAAGCAGTTGTTCGTTGGGCTCTGCGGTCACGCACCCAGGTCTCTAAGACCAACACTAATCTATCTTCCTTTTCAGGTTCCTCAAGAAACAACCTTACACGGTGTGGGCAGCCGGGAAGTGACAACCACCCTCATACCCGTAACAGCACGAGAGACCATATTGGTCAAAATCAAATCCTTCCTACACTCCCTAGTACCTCTCTTATCTCCACGACTAACTCTTCTCACATTCAATCATCACAGTGCACAGCTAATGCAGACGATGCGAGTTCGCGAAACGTCGTTCCTGGTCTCCGTAAACCCCGCTCTAGACTACATGTTGGAGCATTTAATGTACGGACATTGTGTCAAATAGGGCAACAGGCATCACTAGCTAGGACTTTAGAATCTCGTGCCATCGATGTATGCTGCGTCTCGGAAACGTGCATACAGGGTCCTAGTAAAATTATTAATCTAATTTCACCTTGTCAAAATAAAGAAGCAGCTCGATTTACTCTTCGTGTATCCAGTAGCCCTGCTGCTGCTTCCAGGGGTCTTGCTGGTGTAGGTATAGCATTGAGTCGTAGAGCTGAACAGTCCCTCCTTGACTGGATCCCAGTGAATAGTCGCTTGTGCGCTGTCCGACTAAACAGTACAGTAAGGACTCGGAAAGATAGGGTCAATCGCCGTTGCCTCTTCATCGGATCTGCCTATGCACCCACTGACTGCAGTTCAGACGAGGTGAAAGATGAGTTTTACAGAAAGCTTTCGGACCTCCTCCAAAAAGCTAGGCGCTCTGATATAGTATTGATGGCTGGTGACTTTAATGCTCAAGTAGGTAGACTAAGTGAAAATGAAAGACACCTAGGTGGATGTTATGGTGTCGCGGCTCAGAGAACAGACGATGGTGACCGTCTGTTGCAAGTAGGCTAAGACAACCACCTATTCTTAGCAAACACTAACTTGACCTAGCGACCTCCAAAGTCGTCTCAACGTTGGACGCAACTAGATCATATCGCCATCAGCCACCGATGGAGAGGTTCGATAGAAGACTTTCACTCGTTCTGGAGCACATGTCTAGATTCAGATCATGCCCTAGTGCGAGCTCGTATTTGTTTGAAGCTTACTGGGCGTAGGAAAGACGCCGTAAGAAAGCATCTTAGGGTTTTACTTAATGATAATAAGGCGAAAAATATATTTCAGGAACAACTAGAAAGACAGTTAGGCGACCATTTAAGCGATTCCCATCCGGAAGCAGGATGGAATGATATCAAAAAGGCTGTGGAAACAGCAGTGATATCTGCTAGTAAGGTTGACCATAAGGCTAGAATGAAACCGTGGATCTCAGTAGCATCCACCGATCTGAAGGATGCCCGAAAACTCATCCTACCTCGCTCTGAACATGATGAAGAACGAAGTCAACTTAGGCGCAGACTTATAAAAAGCCTGCGCAACGACCGTGAACAGTGGTGGGTGGCGAAAGCAAAAGCGATGGAAAAGGCAGCGGCGATCGGCAACAGTAGACAATTTTTCCGACTTATCAAGGAAACTGGCATTAGGAATACTAGTGTAAGTGAGACTATCTCAGAAAATGACGGGACTATTATTTATTCTCAATCCAGGAGACTGGATTAATGGGCAGAACACTTTAGGGATCAGTTCAACTGGCCTCTAGCCACTTTTCTGTTTCCCACGATCTCCAGTCATCCTGAATGGCAAGTTGACGTAAGTCCACCTTGTCTTAATGAAGTTGGAAGAGCGTTAAAAAATCTGAAGCGAGGGCGAGCTGCAGGTCCTGATAGACTGACCCCTGAGATATTTAAGGATGTGGTCCAGTTTTAGCAGCTAGGTTGACTGAGATCTTAGGTAGAATCTGGGAACTGGACGCAATCCCATCCGACTGGTCTCAATCACTGATTGTCCCAATCTATAAGAAAGGACAAAAGTCCTCTTGTGACAATCACAGGGGAATAAGTCTAACTAATATAGTATTTAAAATATTGGCCTCAGTAATACTTCGACGCTTAACGAAAGCTCTTGAAGAGCAAACTCGAGAAAACCAATCTGGTTTTCGACCTGGACGTGGTTTTATAGACCACATTTTCACACTACGTCAAATCCTGGAACATAGACACACATTTAGGCGTCCTACAATAGTTGTCTTCCTGGACCTTAAGGCGGCATTTGACTCTGTGGATCGTGAAGTTTTGTGGCAGTGTCTGTCATTGAAAGGTGTACCAAAGAAGTACATTAACCTTATACAAGCCCTTTACTCGAACACCACTGGTCGAGTGAGAGCTTTTGGCGAACTGTCACCGGAATTCTCTACTTCAAGTGGTGTCCGTCAGGGATGTCCACTTTCTCCATTTTTGTTTAATTTTATCATAGACATGCTCCTAGAAATAACCTTATCCTCGTCTGAATTTTCTGGAGTAGACCTTCTACCAGGTGGCTCGCTTATTGACTTAGAATATGCCGACGACATTGTCCTACTTGGTGAAGACGCTGACAAAATGCAAAGTCGTCTGACTACCCTAAGCAGCAATGCAAGAATGTTCGGGATGGGGTTCTCACTCTCGAAATGCAAAATGTTGCTTCAAGATTGGGTTGCATCGGCACCTGAACTAGTGATAGGGAGTGAAGTAGTCAAGCGTGTAGACCGCTTCACTTATCTTGGGAGTCTCGTCAGTGCCGATGGCCTGGTGACTGACGAAATCTCGGCACGGATACAGAAGGCTCGATTGGCTTTTGTCACCTGCGTCACTTATGGCGTAGGCGAGATATCCGTTTGCTGACTAAAGGACGAGTGTACTGCGCAGTGGTTTGCTCCGTCTTACTTTATGGCTGTGAAACATGGCCAGTGAGAGTAGAAGATATTCCTCAGTTATTGGTTTTCGATCATAGGTGTTTTCGAAGTATTGCTCGTATATCCTGGGGACACCCGAGTAAGCAACGCTGTTATCAGGAGGCGGGGGCTAGGTAAGGATGGCAGATCAATAGACGCAGTAGTGACACTTCATCAGTTGAGGTGGTTGGGACATGTGTTGCGTATGCCCAACCACCGACTGCCTCGTCGAGCTTTGTTTTGTAGTGTAGGAATAGGTTGGAAGAAAGTTAGGGGTGGCCAAATCAAAACATGGAATAAATCCATGAAGTCATTGACAAGTGGACTTAGCCATGTCGGTAATTGTCGACTACTTGGTTGGGGTCTGCGAGATGATAATAATCGATGGTTAGAGACCTTGAATGACATGGCTCAAAATCGTTCGCAATGGCGCCGGTGCATTTATTCTTTGTGTTCTCTCAAATCCTAATCTTCTGGATTCTTCAACGCCTCTAGTTTCGACTTTCTAAACTTTTCTCATTTAATCATATTTCTTGAATATTATCTTCTAATCCTAACCTCTTCGATTACTTCTAATACCTTTACTACCTCTTCTACTATTGGATTTGAATTGACAAGTACATCTCTGTGCTAATGTGGTATGGCGACATGAACTGATGTACTTACGTACGAAGTTCTACGTTGCATCTGACTGACTGACTGACCTGTGAAATCGTATGAAATTCCAATGCAAAAGTTATTTTCACAAGAGAGATTAACTACAGAAGCGCCATAATAGAAAGACAGATAATTTGGAATGGTAACCATTAATTGCTGGACTATAAGAACCGTGAATCTAGCTTTAATTTTCCAGCTATTCAGAAAAACCGTTGCAAGTCATCATGGAAAATATTGACTTTCTTTAATTTTCAGAGTTCATAGGACATATTTTGATCTAAACTAGAAAACTGTAGTTCTAAAAAGTTTTGCCTCTTGAAACTGTTTATTTTCATCACAATTTCCAAACAGATCATCTTTTTGCCATGAATTCGCTTTTGCACTTAAATAAGCTTCGAAAGGACCAGTTAGTTGAGTGATTAGAACGTGTCCGATTCCGTATGGATTCGACAATTAGAACACAATATTACGTTACCTATACATTTTCATGAATTGTCAATGAAACCAGAAAATTTGACATTTGTTGAGAATTTGTGGGGAATATTTGTCTATTTTTAAACTGCTTTTACATGTCCAAACTACCGGGAGAATGTGAACGACTTTTGTGAAGTCATTACAGTAAAATTTCACTAAATGCAACCAAAACCTTCTAGTTTCAATTAAAACTGGGGAAATTCCCAAACATTTTGTGAAAAACCCGGAATGTCCCGAAAGCTTGTAGATTGGATTGCGAATAAGTATTACATTTCATGTATATAATAAATTTTAACAGTATAACATTCTATAAATCATGTCAACTGCCTAAACAGTTAGTGAGAGTAAAGGAATACGTGGGATACAATTGAGCAGGGAGCAAATATCTATGCGTAAACTCTACGTAAACGGTTGTGGAAACTAGACAATTACGAGACATTTTAAACATAGAGACGAAAGACGGGAAAATACCGCACTATTTTCCTATGAAACGAAGAAAATGTGATTTTCATGGCGCATTTCTCCATTACTTTTTAAGGAATTTCCCCATATATTCCAGGTGTCTTCCTTTGTTTCTCCTATTTGTTTTACTTGGTTATATATTAACCTATTTCGAACTTCAGAGATAATAATTGATGTTTCTTATCCATTTCGGTGATTCTTAACCACTGTCTATGATCCTGACACATTCTCTTAGCTGAATGCATTGACCCAATCAACCAATCAACAATATCTACACAAAACTTGTCCGTCTTACCGTTACCAACGTTACAGTACCAGAATCAAATCAAGCGCAAAAGCATAATTATTCGAAAAGTATATGTCAAATGGTAATCAATCCTGAGACAAATAAACAAATGCAGTCGAATGCATGGTTGATAAACCGTAAGATTACGGTCTCGGCTGGACGGTATAAGACCACTACAAGCTTGCTAAAAAACTCATGGACAGAAAAAGAAATAGTTATCTATAGAGAGTCTGTTAGGCCGTAAGAGTATTGTAGACCTATCAAATTTTGCTTTTTTTCATGGGATTTACATAGCATTTTATCAAGCTTCATTTTATCAGCTTCCAGGAATAGGCTGACTAAGGTAGCACATAAACTACCGATTATGCAAGGCGAAAAGAAAGTACTTATTTTCTGGAGCTACAGAATATTCAAACAGGGTACAGTGGAATTTAATATTGGGATATACCTTCATTTTAGTCTATAGGGATGCTGTTCCTCCGGTGTTATCTTGTGGAGCATCACTTAGTGCAGCATCAAATTTGAAGAGTATCTCTTGGTGCTTCGGCTGTAGTTCTAGCCATTTTATTTTCATCAGCTTTATCGTAACCTGTTTTTACTATGGAAAACCGTTACTTCGTCCCTCAAATTGAAGAAATGGACTTTAAACCTAGGTTCTCAAATTGACTGCAAACGGGCGAAAGGCCAGTGTTAGCATCATCATAGAAAACTTCTGTGAGTTTCTAGTCTTCATTTTAATAAGTCTGTTAAAAGTGCGAACAACACTTCTTGGGAGATATTTTTCCAGGAGGTAATGACTTAGTGTGAAACTACTTATATCTAAACTGCTTTTTCCGTTCTTAGTTCTTCAACTTGGTCGTAATAATCGTTAGTCGGTCCTAACGTAACAGGAGCAGGAAAGAGAATATATGGAGTCTAAAGTTATTGATTCACATTCCATACTTAGAGATTAAATCTCCTCTTAATCTAGCTTTTCTAAACCCTATGCTTATGGTGAACATCAAAATTCTGGAACTACACGAAAGCTCTCAATTGTAACTATTACAAGTCACAGTCCAGTTACAGGCTTGTAGCCTCATCTTAAATTCGCTCTTATTATCCCTAGGTTCATGATCAAAAACCCAGCATCTAGTATTGCATTTACTGACATACCATTAATTATTAGATTCGATTTCATTTTTTGCTCGGATTTTAATGGCAATATTCCAAACTGTTATTGCTACAGTTCTTGTTCTGCTATCAGACACCTGGGATCGTATCGCAAGAATAAGAATCGAGCGCAACGATATCATTTGGTTTATGCTAACTTGTGAAAAAGATATGGGATAATGGATATTCGAAGTCGTAATAAAACAAATGTTCGCTTAGTATTCTTTAAAACAGAGCCTGTCACGATATTTTGAATCGTATTCAAACATTACTGAGACTAATAGGTGGAATTTCATTTATGGTGCAACTCAGATTGTTTTCCTCTTAATCATTGCGCACTCGCCGAACCATTCCCTGACTTTAAAAATCCCTTCAATGAAGGTTATAATAAGTTTTTTACTCGAAATATTATCAGTAACTTAAACTTTCAGGACATTCGTTTAATACATGTCTTATCAACGGTAGTTCGATTTAGATTACAACTCTTAATGAACCATCAAATATAATGACATTTAAGGAATGAGCAACCAGCAATGTTTCTGACCTAAGATATCTCTTGAAAACCATGATCTATTTCGAAGTGATAGGTTACAAAGACGATGTGTAGGATGCCTCATAAATGATCACTGTAGCCTAAACTCATTCTTATGTGATTGCCTGGAAATAACTAATCTACAGGATTCTGTGTGGATAGTTCAGAAACCCCCACATGCAGTTTCCCTACTGTTTAGCTGTGTTTATCAACTGCACGGGATCTAGCAATATTGTCACTAGTGTAGGCTTCAGTGTATTGAATATTTCTAAGGCGATAAGTATACTGAAACACCCTTATATTGAAAGACCCGATGGTTTCTTAGCGACAATGCTGAAAAATGGAAGCAATAATCTGTGTGTTGTGCTGCTTTAAACATTCAACACATCACTCTCTAAAGACAGTTACTTTAAAACCTGGAATACAACACAAATGAACCTCACAATTAAATGAGGGAATGTTGAAAATTAACGACCAAAGTAGTATTATCAAGGGTGACAGAGAAAGTAGTCAAGGGGTCGATAAAACAACTGCCGCATGATGATAATCTCATCTCGGCATCTCAGCATGGTCTTTTGAGGTTAAGGGCATACGATACTGGCCTACTAGATTATCTCAATCATATTACTCAAAAACTAGACAAAGGGTTTCTAGTATCCTGTAGATATAGGGATCACGCAATTAGTTTGATGGGTCTAGCATTAGGTCTCAGACTAGCAGGTACGGCACTGTCACCAATGATGTTGGCTTGAGACAATCAATTCTGACTATCTCGACGCGGCCATGTCGAGCAGCCCTGAAGGTCTTTTCACGACGAGAAATTACGTGATAATGTCGTTCGTACGGCTGTATGAAAAGGTTTGCGTACCGAATCGACTCGTATGGAAACATGTGAACAGGTAGATAACTCTGGAAGGAAAGCGACTTGTAGATGCTGTGTTCGAGTTGACACTGGAGGCAGTGTTCGCATGTATTCAGACAATTGTCGGATGTAGTCTAATTTATTGAACTTATCTCTGCTCTGTGGTGGGAAAAAGTCTCCAAGCAGACGCAAGGTCATGCCGTATACGAGTTAAGCGTTGAATATCTGTCTTAAAGCTAGTTCTGATACCTAAGAGGACAAGCGGTAAGGTTTCATACCAATTGTGGTTTTCATGTGCGAGAAGAGCACTCTTAAGTTGGCGATGAAACCGCTTCACTAAACCATTCAGAGCTGGGTGGTAGGCGTTAATGCGTATGCACTCCGTACCAAGGAGCCGAGTTAGCGAGGAGAATAGTTCGGACTCGAAAATTTGTCCTAGGTAGTTGTGACGAACCGGTGAGCAACTGCTTCCGCCGTAATAGAAGAGATGGGAATAGCTTCGTGCCATCTTGTCAAATGATCGGTTCATGTGAGTATGTGATCGTACCTATGCGATGGTGGCAATGGTCCTACAATGTCAATATGCACATGATCGAAGCAGCATCAGGCATAGCGAATTTGCCGATGGGGGGGGGGGGGGGGTTAAGTGCCTGTGCACATTTGATCGTCGACACTGTAAGCATTGCTTTACCCATATATGGACATCTTTATTCATGGAAGGTGAGACGTATCGTGCAGCACTGAGGCGTAATGTGGATGCGTTATCTGGGTGAGACAACCAAAGGAGGGCATTGAAGAGGAGACAGCGATAAGCTTTTAATGTGACGGTCTGTCGTGAACTGAGAGATATAGTCCAAATGCCTGCTCTCTCGTAGTCAGAAGCACTATATCACGTCTCTGTGGGAGTAAGTCGTCGTGAGAAAAATTCGAGATGTTTCCAACTCCCAGAGATGTTCTGTTGTGAAATCTGAAGCATAAAGCGCTGAGCTAAGCGTGGCTGCTAGATCAGGATAGACGAGAAGTGTGGCTTGAGCTAAAGCATTTTTAAACTCAGGAAATGCAGTACGCGCGGCATCGTTCAATTCTAGTGTGCGTGGATTACTGCGAAGTAAGTCGGTTGAGATGTCCTAACTTTTCTGCCGCGTGAGGAATGAAACGTCTGTAGAAGTTGAACGAACTGAGATAAGCCTTCAGTCCCTTGATTGAGGACGGTACAGTGTACTCCATGATTGTACGTATTTTGTCTTTACAAGGTAGAATACCCTCAAGCTTAATAATGTGACCCAAAAACCTTATTTCTGCCTTGCCCAGTTCACACTTGTGTGGGTTATCTACTATTACATTATCCGAAAGGCGTTGGAATAAGAGCGTACGATGTTGACAATGTTCATCTACATTTGATGATGTGATTAGCAGATCATCAATATAGACGTGAACAAAATCGAAGACTCGTACTATGCTGTCGATAAACCTTTTGTAAGTTTGAGCAGCATTCCTTGATACAAATGGCATTCGTAGGAACTCAAAAAGACCTAAATGAGTTGTGATAACAGTCTTCCCGATATCTTCAAGAGCGACTGGGATCTGATGATATGCTCGCACCAGATCAATCCACGAATAAATAGTCGCGCCCTTGAGTGACGCCGTGAGGTCGTATATGTGGTGGATGGGATAGCTATCGAAACGTGTTGCTATATTCACTATTCGGTAGTCGCCATATGGTCGCCAACGTATTGAATCCTTTTTGCGAACCATGTGTAGTGGGGCGACTCAAGGACGATAAGGACGAATAAGACCTGTAGCTAGTAAATTTTCAAACTCACATTTAGCGAAAGCTACTTTGGCCGGCGCCAGTCGGCGAGGTCCTGCCGTGACTGGTGGTCCGCGGGTGACGATGTGGTGTACCACATGGTGAGACACCAATGGAATTTCCTTGAGTGATTTAGTTAGCTAATGGATTTTTTCGAATGAATCATAGAATATGTCATCACGCGAATGCAACACCCCTGTAATACAGTACGCTATTTGTTTGAACTCATAAACTTATGAATTCGCTATTTGACAAAGTATCGATTAACGCAGCCTACGTGATTCGAATAGCGGTTCATAGTGCTGTAGGTGATCGATACCGAGTATGGCTGTGGGAACATCAGCATTAATAAACGTCCATGGATACCGCCGCGAAATATTCGGGTTGATCGTTAGGTGTCGCGTATTATAGGTAGGAATGACAGAGCCTTTGGCACAGCGTAGTCATAGCTTGAAACTTGCTGCTATTAGACGATACAGCGGGAATGTAGGTCACTAGGTACCTAGCGTCAGTGCAAAACTCGTGCACGTAAAACAAACTAACAACCTGAAGTGGCGGGGAGGAGACGGATGAAAATGCAATGATCTGCACATTGGAGTCTATTTTCATAGCAATCCACCACTTCAAAACTTTGTTGCAAGTATAATATATATTGAAGGACATTAATAATCGTAATGCTACATGACGAAAATGGTGATTGTTGAATAATAGACTC